AAAAAAAAAAAAGAAAAGAAAAAACTTCTCATTTTCCCTACCTTTGAGTGCTACTTATTTATAAGGCATAATTATCTCCCTTTATCACACTGCTGTGGTTAATAAGCTCCCCCTTAGAATTATTGGCACCCTTTAGAATTTCAAGAGGAATGAACGGTTATTGCCTTCAACAGCACGCACGCTGCTAGCACATAGTACAAACTTTATTTCTGAGCTTACTAGAACTGTAGTCGTTTTGATTCAAATGTTACACCGTGCATCGCGGTGCTGTACCGCTACATGTCTTTCTATTGTTACTCCCTGATAGCCCAAAAATCCTTACGCGCCTTCGGTTTCCAAAAGACCAATAATCTGCAGATCAAGAAAATCACTTCCGGTGACACCCGAAACAATCAGTAATGGCAAGCAGCAGCTTAATATGAGCTTCATTTACCAGATTTAAACAAAATCTGACCCACAGGCAAGCTAGATGCAGAAAAAAATACTGAAACTTTTGAAATTTTTTTTTTGCTCTTACTTTTTCCCTCTTAAGATAAAAATGCATTCTTCAAATAAACTGTGAGTCATATAGCACCCTGTCCGTATACATGCATAAGTTTAATACCGAACTACACTTGTAGAATCTTATCCATCTCAAATGTATTAAAATGAATTAATTTGGACTACCGAATAACTGCTAGAATTTAGAGCAGATTCCTAGACCGGCGGACACCGACCAGTAAATTTTTGGCAACAGTTTGCGATAGCAACCCTTATTACTCGCATGTCTGGCCTACTCAATACCAGTCGAAGAAAACATTTGCCACAGTTCCATAATTCTATTCTTTGGGTTATTTCCAAATGTTTTTATTACTTCTTGAGATTTACTGTAGCAGCTGCAGTCATCTTCCGATGGCGTAAGTGCTGCTTCATCAGTTTCACCAACACTGAATACAGATTTTTTAGGTAACCATATTCCGCTGATAACCGAAACAGTTAAACCGAACTAAATCATTCATACTCTGCTTTTTCTGAACACCTTAAATAACCGATATTTAAATTCAAACAAATTACAACTTAGTATTTAAAAAATGCCCAGAGCTTCCTTTCAAAGACAATTGTTATCAAGAGAATAAAGTACTGCTTTCCAAGAAACCGAGTAATTATCTATGACAATAAATTGGGAAAAAAGAAGTCATACAAATACGAAAAGGAAATTAACAACAAATATACACAGCCAAGAGAAGCAGTAAAGAGTGCATAGAATAGAATCATCAAAAAAAGAGAAAGTGGTGATCACAAAGCATGAAATAAATATAAAAACAATAAACAAACGTAATGTTTTAGGCAGTAATTACTGGTGAAAGACAACAAAAAAAATTATCACAAAAGGTCAGAAAGTAAAAATATTATTTTAAAAAATACCAGTATATCTCTTTCATACCAAAGTATTTATTTTCACATTTTGGGATTTACCTGCCATAATAGAACAGAAATAATTTTCTGTAACAAATATATCAACAAGTAATGGCGGAAAGTAGAACAAGTGTTCCTCTTAAAAAGCTTTAAAAAGCAGTATCTTTTCCTCCAAAACCTGAGTTCAGATTTCCAGGTTAAAAATCGTCTGAGAACACCCGAAAAAGGAGGTAATTACCACTAACACCTTAGTTTAGTTCTTAACAGCTGTTGAGAACTGTATCGTAAATGAGTTTGATAAAAGTCCAGTTCTCAGCAAAACATTACCATCCATATTCTTGATACTATCTTGCTTTTAGAGTTTTTACTTCCTTTTCGCCATATCTTCAAACTTATAATTTTAATTCAGCATTAAGCTTCACTCTGACGAAAAAAAGAAGCGCAAAGCTAAGGACTTATACCTTTCCGCTACCATTATTCAATTTTTTGATAAGACCTTCTCCAATAGAGCAGAATTTTTTATAATAGGGGAAAAATTATCAGATTTAAGCAAACCCTAAACCTCCAGTTCTTAGCGTATCAAACAAAAAAAACTTCCTCTCCAAAAATCTTTTAATTCGCTTCGTGTCATAAAAGTTCATAAGCGTTTCTTGTTGTTCAGTCATCCTCCAACATGGTGTTCAAAGCAACCATCTGACTGGACCACGTTTGCCACCCACTTATAGTATCAGAAGACCTATTTTTTATCCCCTCCTATTTCTGCTGTTAGAAAGCTAATACTTCAAAAAGATTTTTTAATCTAAAAATATCATTTCCGATAAGTCCTTCCAAAAAAAATTAACCAATAAACTAAAAATGCTCATCTCTTGATAATTTCACATTATTGACCTTAAAAAAGGAAAGGGTAAAACTTGAGTCTTTCTATGACAGTGACTCATATAGCAAAAAAACCCTTTAAATAGGCATCCTAATCATAATTTCTTGCAATAAAAGGCAAACTACATTAGTAACGGAAATCCTTCTGTAACAGCTAAAACCGCTGGTCAAGAGTACGTTTTAAACTTCAGGAATTATAGCGCAAAATAAACAGGTGCAACAGAAAATAGTAAAATTTAAATGGCTTAACCATAGCTTTTAGAAAACACTAAGAGCTAACTCTGATAGGTCTTTTATTCAGAGAAATGGCGAAAAAAATAACCAAATAATTCAAAAAAAAAAAAGTACTTTCAAAAAAATGCCCTTTTCAGGATCTGATGCACAACAAGTGCATGCCTACTCATAGAAATGCGCAAAAACCTGACCAGCACAGAGGTTTAAAGTCGTAAGAAAACGTCTTGAAAAATATTGACAAGAAAGCAGATATTAGAGTAATTTTTTATCTTCACTGTTTGTTTTTGTGCTGTTTGTAATAAGCAAATGAGCCAAAGTCTGTCAGCTGTAAAGTTTTGTTTGCACAGTTCGCTCTTTTGAATTGTTAACTACAGCGCAGCCTGGCCATTTTACAATGCCTTCGCAACAGAAATAAACATAAAGATAATTAATAAACTTATCACAGGCGCAGAAAGAGAGTATACAGATAATAGATATTATGCTTGTTCTTGAAGTTTTAGTCCACTTTAACATCAGTGAAAAGATAAAAACAGTTTAGATATTGTTAAGAAACTATGCTTAGAAACGATAGCAGAACATTCCTCAAGCCAAGGCTGATTTTCAGACTCATTTGGAACGTGCGCAGTAACCACCTTCTCAGAAGAACCAGACAATTAAAGAGGATGAAGTAATTCCAAAAAGTACTAATAAACATAAGAAAGGAGGTCAAAGAAATGCAGATTCCCTTCCCTAATCCAAATGTAATTTGTACTAAAAATAACGATTATTTAGGATCAATCAATGGTTATTGCGAAGCTGAATTTACCATAGCGTTATTCGCAATTTACAGTTAGCCGGAACATGAACTCTCTTGCCTTGCGATTAAAACCTTGTATTTATTTACAAATAACTATGATTTGATTTTAAGTAAGCTCATCAAAATAAAATGGACAGTGGAGAGGCGTAATTCGAGCTTCATGGTTTATTTTTCTTCGTAGAATAGATTACAAGAATAATGAATACTAGGAGTACCTTTGATGATAAATTCGGTAAGGTATGAAGTTCGATGACCGTAAACTCTTACCTCCCCACATTGTTTAGCTGACCCATCTAGTGGCAAACCAACTTCCACTTTCAACTTTAATGCTCCAAAAAGCCATCATTTCGCAACATCTTTTGGTAAATCGGTAACTTGAAGCCGTTACCCTCAAAACGCCTCCAAAATCCTTTGCTATTACGCCAATAAAATGGTTTTCATTAACCTGCTAAAATTACTGAAATTTCTCCCTCGAAATGCAACTTTTTGGCACCTAGTGAATGTTAGAATCTTATTAATTTTAACATCTAAAACACTAACAAGCCTGTTCTAGCTTAACAAAAACAAAAAGCAGCTGAATCATAGTTCTTCACAGCGGTTCGCCGTTAAACCAGGCGGTTTTTAACAAACAATAAAGAAGGAAGTGCAAGCTGAGCCTCCTTATCTAGACTCGCCTTTCAGCCACATTTGCGAATAAAAACTGCCCCATTTTACAACAGAACTCTGCTGGCCCGTATCACAAGAGACTGAGAAATAAAAAAACTCTAAGTGCAATAGAATACCTCGATAAATGATACGTAAACAACAGTAAAAACATTTAAACCGAGCTGATAAAGATCAGGTTCAAAAAGCTAGTTTTAGCTGAGGTTTTCGTGCAGAATGATGTGGAACCATTAAGAATTATCCAAAAAGCGAAATATCAACTCTGGTCAAACTTGATTTTTAGAATGACTTGTTACTTAATCAAATTCATTTTTAATTTAGGCAAGCATCTTTCCTAAAGCTTTAACTAATTACCTTCCTGTGTCACAACAATTCCAAATTGCGCTCTACCGAAGTTCCGGCCACCTAAAACCTCAGAAAGTCACCTGGCATCAATCATTTAATCCACTAAGAAACATTTCACCATCCCAGTCTCTCCTCTCAAGCGATGTAATACTCCAACAATAAAAAGTTGATCTTTGTTAACTCTGCCTCTATGAAAACTAACTCACTAGTCTCGACGTAAAATTCAATTGCTCTATACCAAAGAGTTAAAAAGAAATTGTGGCAACTAAAGAACCATCAATTCACTTTAAATCATATACTAATCAAAAGTTTTTTTTCAAAATCTGTCCCAAATCATCACCAAGAGTACTGCTCTCAATTAAAATCCTGGATATTTCTGTGCAAAAAATAAGAAATTGCCACAATGTTTGAAAAATACTGAACCCAGTCGAATAACAAATGAGCATTTTTGATCTGCTTTTCTCAAAAATGCTGAAAGATCAGAAAATGAAAAGTGATATCAAAAAGTCTCAATTTCAAGAAAATCCTTTCACCATCGACATAACAATATGAGCAATCTGTACAACAAATGTGTAAATTCTATAAATTCATACTACAAGTTCTCAATATAATGCTCAAGTATCGAAATGTAGTTATTCCACACCCAGTGGTACTTCTCAGGTGTCTTATCACGTTTATCAACGTAATGTTGATGAAGATTTTCAATCATTACCTTCAATCGTTCATCGACGTCACTATCGTCATCGTCGTTGTTATACACAAAGTAGGACCATTTGGAGCTATAACGAACCTCATGATGCGTATTCTGAAGAAACTTCGCCAGCAAAATGTAAGCATAATGAAACTGTTAAGAATACTTACAGCTGTTCGTAGCCTAACCGGAGAATTTTAAAGGCTACTTTAAATCCAAAACTGGGTACCTCATCGCTGGCATACAATGTGCTAAAATAAATTTGTTTGTTCTAAAGCTTAATTATAAAATATATCGTTCGAATAAAAAACAAAACAGTCGTTAACAATAAAAAGCAAACTTTTTATGACAAAATAGCAAAAAACTTTCATTTTATTCCCCAATAAAAACTATTATTAAAAGATTTTCAGGTAAGAAAATCCTAATATGGAAAATAAAACCTCTCTCCTTCAATAGAACCAAAACGCAAACAACAATACATCTTTTGACTTACCAAGAAATGCCTGCGTTGCGTACAGCTTGCTTATGAGCTTCGGTAACCTGAATCCCGCTCTCTTCAGCCAAAACGAAAAATAAATCTAAACACGAGTTTAAAGCGTTACAAAGATATGTGAATTTTTTTAAAAACAAATCATCTATCTTTAGCGCTAAAAAAATACTAAAAATACGTTTTGCCTAACTAAAAAACAAAAAAAGAAGCTAATCCGAATCAGCACTAAAAATTATGACAAAAAGGATCAAGTACCAAGATCTACAGGAACCATGTTGCAGAGGTTCTGTGGCAAAGTAAAACCATACTCTATCCAGAGGCGCCCATTACTATGCGGACCATAACACACAAATATCTGCTCATCCTCTTTGACCGGGCGGATGGCAGTAACGACATAACGCTTTAAAACTTTGTTCCACTCACAGAAACCCTGAAAGTAATTTCATTACCTGAAATTTGATGTATTAAAACTGCTTCGTCAAAAATAATATGCTAAGCTTCAAGGAAATAGTTCAGATGATTTTAAGATACTGTTAATGTTACTGATAGCTGTTGTTCATATTAATCGATCTACTTATACAACTGCTTAACTGGGCTTTAAATTTAAGGTGAATAAATATCAAATAAAAAATTCCGCAATACAGATTTTGTTACAGACTTCGTTTTTATATAAAAAATAGATACTTTTAATATACGCTGAAAACTAAAGATTGAAAATACTAGTTACCTGATAATCATTGCTGTGGTTAAACATATCTACAAATGGAATAACTGCAAGGCAATCGCCATCGCTATTATCAAACAAAGGGTTCGGTTCAGTTGGTACGTATATACATCGGGTATTTACAATGTGCCAAGCCCACAAAAATAGTTCGTAATCCAAAGCCTCAAGTAGTGTTTCTATAATCTGCAATTGAGAATGATAAAACATTGATAAGCGAATTATGAAAATGGTAGACAAGGTCGGAAAAACTTTCAAAAAGTATCTAAGCCAATTCGGAGGTCTAGTAATGCATGATAACTACTTAAATGTTCAGTCAGACGAATAAAACCCGATAATACCGATCACAGTTAAAATTTTATTTGAAACGCAAGTCTTTTTAAACTATTTTTCCACTATTTTTTAATCCCGATCAGTCCCGCCGTTTCTTACACTTCACTGGCAGTAGATTTCTACAGCTAATAAAATTTCAAGTGATATCTTTGTCCTAGGAACGATTTATTTGCTTTTCAACCATCCTTTGAACCAGACTAGTTGGAAGAAAAGAATACACTATCAAATAATTAGAATGAGGAAAAAAACGCAGTTGTCATATAAAAAAAATGAACAAATCACAATATCAAAGTTGTACCAATGTGTTTGCTGATAAACTAACTTTGTTATACATTTCGTTTAATTCTTTCCGCTGAGCAACCAGTAAATCTTTTTCATAGACAGGCAAACAAGATGGCTGAAGATCCGGATCAAGCATCGCAGGCGTTGTGAAACTGCGAGGTAATACTTTCACATAGGGAGCCCAACTGGAATCTTCTGCTTTTTGAAGTTCCGTAATAAAAAATACAACCAACGCCTCAAACGGTCTTAAACTTCGCCTAAAAAGTTCATTTTTTTTTCGTTGAGGATAAAAAACTAAATAGTTTTGTAGTAGAAAAGCAAAAAAAAAAAGTTTTTTGACACCTGATACCGAAGCGACTAAATGATAGCCGACAAGCAAGAACTGCGCGTAAGCGTATGTTTGTGTAAGAGAAAATAGGTAAACAAATAACACAGTTTTCTTTTCCCCGATCACTTACCGACTAAAAATTTCTCGATAAGCTGGAATTTTTGCTAGACTTCCGGCAGTAATAAGAAGTTGATGCGGAATACTGACCAGTATCTCATTTTCACGTAGATTACGCTTTGCATACAGACCATATCCACAGCTATCTGGACATTTCTTTAAGGTTACTGCCGTATAATAAGCATCCTTTTTTAGCAACCATTCCTTGAACGATTCCAACGCTAAAAATATTATGGCTAACAGCTATCAGCATTAAAAAAATACCAAAAAATCCAAAATATACTTTTTTTTTTTTGAGTGCCATAACAAAAAAAAGCGATAAAAAAACTGCTTCAATATTCAGTGCTCCTCTTCCAGTGAATTAAACTATATAAACGTTTCGCTTTGGAACAACCAATTGTTACCGCAGAACAAAAAACAGTTGTAAACAATTAAACAATTATAACTTTTTTTTGCCAGAAAAAAAACACTTAGTCACGAAAGAAAACAGAAAAAAACCATTGTAATCTTATGCGCAGGTAACAACGATTGGAAATTAATACAAAAAAAAACTTTCTTTCGAAACCATACCAAGAGAATCCGATGAATACAAACAGTCAGTTTGGCCGTTCATCGCATCATTCATGTCAACTGCTGTTCAAAATGACAGCAGCAGTAGTTGTAGAATCAATTTCTGCAGTTGTCTAAAACAAAACTTTGTCATTAAAATTCCAACCACCCACAATAGCACCTGAATATTTTCCAGTATTGTTTATCGTCCACGCATATACATCTCGGTTGAAAAAAAAAAAAAAAAAAAAAAAAAAAAAAAAAAA